GGAGTTGGTGGCGGAGGAGGAATTATATTAACAGATTACTGATAAGGCTTAGGGGGGATTAAGGCGGAGAAGTTGGTTAGGGGCGCTGTAATATCAGAGTTTGGCCCGGGCGGGAGAGGTCATTTTAATTAGAGGGCTGGCCCCTAATCTCCCCACTACCGCCCTTATGTAGTCCCGAGTCAAACTGGGATTAAGGCTCAGCTCGGCTCTGCATAGCTCAGATTGAAGGATATCGCTTCCGCTCTCCAATTTGTGTTTAGTTTATATATTGTTAGTATTCGCTCTACTTCGGGAGATATTGTAGCTAAAACTTCCTTCTGAAAATTATTCAAACGATCCCTCAGTCAAATGAAAAGTAAATACATCATGCAGAATCTATGTATGTAAATACTACTCATGTTTCTAGTCAATTACTTTCTGAAGGCCATTGTGTGGATTGTAGGCGCTTATGTTGAAATTTTACAGGCGCCCCTCACACACCCTTTCCAATCAGCCTTTAGCCTATTTTGTTATATAGTCGCGTTATCTTTATATATTTCTTTATTTTTCATTTATTCATTAAATTTTATAACATTCTCTCACAAAGACAATAATTATAGTGAGGTAAGAGCACATTCACACCATATATATAGAGAGAATATAAAATAAACACGAGCCAAATAGCATCTAAGTAATAATAAAAAAGTATACACAATAAAAAAATATATAAATAACAGTAGTAAGGCCAGTGATACTGTATGGTATGGACACTGCCTTCCAAGCCTAGAGAAAGTCCTAAAGGCTTTGAGGATAATTCTGAGGAGAATTCATGGTCCCAAAATAACGCGCGAGGGGTATTGGCGAAAATCCAATGAAGAAAGATATAAGGGGATTTTGGAAGATCTGAAAACAGTAATCTGGACCAGGAGACTGAGATTCTACGGGCACATGGTCAGAATGAACGATGAGAGATTACACAGGAAAATTGTAAGCTAAAATTCAGGGATAAGGACTGCTGGATAGAGAGATTTTTGGGTAAAAAAATGAAAGAAGTTGGGGTTCTTGTGGGCAGGAGGGAGAGATGAGAGAGAAAACGGACTAAAAAAGAGCGAGAGGAACAGTCCAAGAGGACGAAAGAGTACTAGAGTGGAAGGAAGGTAGAAGATGTAAAGAAGAACAAGAAATGATATTTTCTTTTTTTTGTAATTTATTATTTTTCCCATGGAGAAGTTTTCACATCTTATTTCTTCGAGCTTTCCAGCTGATATATAATGTAATTCACATTGGCCACTTGTTAAACATAAATTAGCGATTGTTTGTCAGTCCAAAGTAGAAATAAGGTCACTAACCATTAAGACATGCTGATAAAAATTCAATTATTTTGGAGTTAAATTCATTGAAAACTGCTATGATGGTTCCATTTTCTATTGAGAATTATAGCTATTAGATTTAGGTTTATAGTTTGTCGCTTCAAAACCCGTAAGAAGACAATTCTTCTTTCAGATGCATACTCTGTTTTGATGTCATGATCTGCAAATAAAAATAGATTTAGATATAATAATAAAAATAATACTTTATTTATTTTGAGGCGTTTCTTTAGAATCATATGCAGAGATAGAAATGTGGGCTATGGAACCTCAGAGAATTATAAAATAATCAATAGACATTATAAATAAAAAAGTATATGTTATCTTCTAACTTTATCAATTAAGAAAAAATAAATAAATAAAAATATTTAATGCGCACTATTAATTTATATAAATATTAAAAAAAACATATATTTACAATTTTATGGGGACTGAACGGATTACAGGTGATTGAAAAGTCGGGCGGTAAAGGTGGAGAGGGTATTGGAGAGACGGATGCATTGGAGGGATAGAATTCCTTCAGAATGAAGATCGGATAATGAAAGACCTGTCAAAAGCAACGGTTCTTTTTTTTATTTCTGCACTTTCAATCTGGGTGATGGGGCTCATCTCACCTCAACGGTTCTGTGTACTAATTGTATACAAATCTGAAGAACCAGAATGGGTTTTGCGGGAATAGACAGAGGATTTTATGAACGATAGGAAAGATGAAGTCACTTCAGCATAAAAACGGGAGACAAAGAATATATAGCATGTAAATTTATTATTAAAAAAAAAAAAAATGGGCCATAAAATGAAATTAGTTTTGTACGCGATAATATAGTTTATCAACAATAGATAACGTTTAACATTTGAAAAATATAATGGCACATGCTATAAATAATATAACTTGGAAAATTTTTGTATCTTCACTGTTTGTATAATCATTAATGATCTTTATTCCTTTATGGAACAATCTGGTCTTGTTTTAATCCCTCAAAAAATGTTAAACGTTTTTCTGTATAACTTGCCTTCTATTGAGCTCATAGACAAGATTTAAGCTTGTGACCAATAATAATTACTAAGATACTGAATATATAAGAAATACTTGAATCGAGGAAGATAGAAATTAACTAGGAATTAAATAGAATAAAAAATTTAAAATTTAATTGACAGTTAAAATGATAATCATTTATACTGTTTTTATCTTAAGTGTTAAAAAATCAAAAATAAACATAATTTTTTTATTGTGTGCCCACGGTGTATTTATTACTGCCACCACGGAACATCTCTTTCCTCTTTATGAAATAATTTTTAAAGAAAATAAATTGGAATTCAAAACTTTCTTATCATTTTTAACAAGATTAATTTTATGCTTTAATTAATTAATTAATTAAATGAAATTAATTTTAAATTAAATTAATTTTACGCTTTAATTAATTTTACCCTAATCACCAAAAAATAAAAAATAAATGATGTAGGTTCTGAAGATGGAAAACATAAACTTGGTTTTTGAGTTACGTAAAAAAGGAGCAAGCAATGAAGTTTTGAATGCCGAAACCCTTTATAAACTTACAAAATACTTCATACAAAGTATGAAATTACACGAAACATGCTACATATTTCAAAAAAACAATGCTTGTGGTAAATAAATCAGAGCTTTCATAGAATATGAAGAATTAGATAACTCCCTTATTATTTATTGTATCACAAAGCGTTTTCAAGATATTGATGGACAGGAACGCAAGACTGTAGCAAGCTCGGCTATCACAGGAGAACAGCCCCTCTATATAATAATTTTAATACGCTCCTGAACTTCTGTATCCCTGCAGCCCTTAGATAGGGGACCCATCTTGTCCAGCTGGGAATAGAGATGTATATTCTCTTATGGAGTAGAACTAAGGAATATTTGTATCCTCGTTTGTTGACAAAATAAAATTTAAGATTAAGACAAAACCTTAGATTAGTTATGTCTCAAATTATTTTATTTATAATTTAATTATCTAAATTAAATGGTTTACTTAATTATAAAAACATTTAATACTATTATTAATGTAATATTGATAATAGCTTTTTATAAATTAAAAAAAGCTTATATCATTACTTACCACTATACTTACCAGATATGTCCTTTATAATAATTAATATTTGTTCTCAATAGTGCAAAAAAACAACTAAAAATAAAAGTGGGGGAGGGTGAGAGACTATTAGTAAAGAGGAAGAATGGATTTAGAATTCAGTAATTTTTTTAATGAATTTGTTTAATTTAGTTTTCTACATGTTGAAAATGGGATAGCTGAAAAATATAAGAGTTGAGGGAAGACTTAAATTCTATTAGCTTGTGAGTATCTCCTATTTTTCAACATGGTTTATTTAGCTAGTGAGTGATTTATATATTTAATAATAATAATAATTTACATATATTTAAATTAATAACTGCCATTGTATTACAGAGATTGTTAAAATTAATATTTTATATTATGTAGTACAACAACAGAGAAGTTAGCTTACGTAGGTCCAATGATGGTTCAAGATATGATATCACAAATGATACTGTATGAATGTTCCGATTACTTTAAATCGGAATATTTGACTATCAATTGTATGGTAGTATAGGAACACTATTTGTTTTTGTCTCTTGAATTTTGCACCGCGGCCTATTTAGCCTGTTGTACGCCCATCTTCATTTCCATTGCCTGAAATGCCGAAATGTCCTAGCACCCATTCTACATATAATTCTACATATAAATAAATCTACATATAAATCAACAGTGCTAAATTAAGTTGAATTTTTTGAAAATCTATAGTTTTGGAAAAACTTGATAATTCTGATAGGTCACAGATATAAGTTTCCATATATCTAATGTTAGCCATAAGAAATGTCACGATTTGATGCAGTCACGATGAATCCCAACATGAGTTCATGAGAAGTTAACAACAAAGCCTGAAGAGATAAAAATATCGATAACGATATTTTAGTGACATTTCCTCACTATCATAGAGAAGTATAATGACATAAAGCAATATTTTTATATTACAATATTATTGTTCTTTATCGTGCTTTGCATTATCTCAAAAGTATGCCTAAGAAAGAAATACATACAAAATTCTGGATGATTGAGGGCCCCTTTAACCTCGGGGTGGTGCAAGGCGCCCCGCCCCCTTTGTCCTCACGTTTCTACGCTCCTGAGTAAGCTTAGAAACGTGACAGCAAAGGAGCATTAGCTTCTAGGTTACCAAGGTACACGATATGGCATTCATAACATGTTATGTATAAACTTACAATGTCTTATATGAGTACCTAATCTTTATCTCACTACTGATAACTTTCCACATAAATGTTTAAGCAATCCTATGCAAACAGTTCGTTTGTGTTTTGTTTTTTTTAAGGCTGTTTTTAGATGGTGCAAATTTGTTCTGTAACGATTGCCTTCGGCTACCAATTTCGCTTTCCATTAAAAAGGAATTGAAAATATACCGGGATTAGTCTGGTTTGCTTTTTTTCGAAAGTTTCGGAAATAAAAATGTTAAAACCAATCACTCCATATCATTTCAAAAATAAAGGAACGTGAGCCCCTTAGAAAATTGAAAAAAAAGTAAATAGAGAAAGAGTTCGACAGGTGACTGTTTAATTGGCGGAGGGCTGCGAGGAAGAGATAGGAATACACTTGAGGATTAACATGTTGCACAAGATTGACGGAGGGTAAGGCCCGCTGTCACCCTTCTTCCGTCTCTGGCTTTAGCACGGCTAATTGGAAAAGGAGATCTTAATTGGAATATGATTTCGCCCTCTGCTTCGGGGGGAGGGAGGGGGAGGGAAGGTTCTCCGAACCGAATTTGGAAGTCGGCCCTTTGATGAATTGACAGGGTTAACGATGGGACGGTTTGCGAACTGGAACAGAGCTGAAATATTTCGATATTTCTTTTTTAAATGACCAAAGAGTATCAATAAGCAATTCACAAAATGAATGACTTGACAACTACAGGTGTATCTATCCTATTAATTTAACTTAAATATTAGAATTTACTAAACCATTATCCATCTTAACGGTTCTATATGGATGTGAAACGTGACCGCTTACATTAAGAGATGAGCAATCTCTTAGGTTTTTTAAATAAAGTACTATGTAGAATGTCCGGCGGATGAAAGAATCTTGTTGAATGTCTCTTATTTTAACTAAGCAATAAGTTGAATAATGAGACGTTAAATGCACTAAGAATCTCGCCTCCGATCTCATGACTTACTAAAATGATTGAAGGATTTTTCGATTTTAAACTTAATTAGAGGATTTCTAGCAGTTAATTAACACTGTAAATATATGGTCATGTGGTGATGATAAATCATAGTTCAGAGCCCACTCTCAGAATAGAAGGAGAAAGGACATGTCCAAGTGAGGCTGTTACTTACCGTGGCATAATTGGGAGAAATTCTTAGGGTGGCTTTGGCTCTCAATGGACTTAGTTGCATCAGGGGCGCCTTTTGGGGTCTCAGGTAACCAGCCACGTTGACTATAAAGAAGTTATAATGGCCATCCTTAGATATGCGTCCCCTGCGTGGAGTCATCATCTCTCGCACCAACAGAAGAAAAGATTGGCAACAATCAGTGTACCGTTCAGTGTCTCATGAGGCGGTACAAGTCTTAGCCGGAACTACTCCTATTGATCTTCTCCTACGAGAAGAATACTTTCGGCATAAGATGAAGAGGGAAGGCCCGATGGATCCAAAATGTGCCTCCCTCTCAAAAGTTTTGATGGCAAAACTTTAGGCCATGCAACGCTCATCTGAGAACGCTTGGCCCCAAGGAAATTATTTGCTTTTTTCTTTATCGATTTCGACCATCTAGCCCAGTTTTCGCAGGAATGGAGACATTTCCAATCTCTATAATTTCGTATGCTATGAAAACAATCTATCTATTCATCTTCTATTGGCACAGCAGATGCATATCCCTGTTCTCAACAACCTTTCCCATTCCGAAGATCCATGTAAGCAGTTTTCTTTCAAATCTATTATTTTTTTTAGCAACAGTGTTGTTAAACTCATCTATATTTTAATCATTTTCGTATATATGCAAACTCAACTTCAATACTTGAAATTAAAAAGGATTGCTATTTAATCTATTTTTTTTTAATCCGCGCTAAGCTCTTTACTGTTTTACAAAAAATATAGCCCTAAAAAATTTATCATTAATGAAGATTTTCCTCAAATTTGCACGATGTTTTTCCCAATAGCTTTCGCATAATTCATATAGTTACGTCTGTGATTCGCTTTTATTTCCTCCGATAAAGTCCTCAATTATATTATAAATTATTAAAATCATATTATATTAAAGATTACTATGTTTTTATTACTAAGGAAGGAAACATTTAAAGTGATTATCCAAGTAAATCATACTTTTAACTAGAAATTAAAAAAAAAAATGGAAATAACTTTAAACATAAATATGTTATTACCTCTCACATCTTAGCAAGTAACTATTCTATTTATTTACGGCGAGGAGAGAAGTTTCGACATAAGGACGGCCGGAGAAAGGGTACACAGCAGAACAATGACTGTCAAAGGAAGATTGATAGGAGGCCATTACTGGGCCGGTCTGTCATCTAGCTCCAGCTCCCTCGCTAATCCGGCTACTCTAAACCGGCCGCTTGAATATAATAACCAATCAAAATTAAACCCACCAGCAATAATAATTTCATCACTTTATGTCTTCGTAGTTCACAATAACGTAAACTCCTCATCGTTCGTTTCCAATATTACTGTGGCATCTACCGGATCCAAGATATAGTTTTTGTAAGGGGGCTTGAGTCCGAAAGATTTATTTTTTTTAGATATATAACGATAATTACTTAGGAAGAAAAAGAAAGAAACTAACTACCTAAATGGAATTGAGTGATTCTACTATTCTGAGTGTACTATTAAATATAATTACCCGAACAATGATACTTTTTGAGATAATTATTAAATATTTTCTTCATAAGATATGGTTATATTTTACAATTTTAGGGGCGGGCTTCAGCTCGAAAGCCCCTCTCCTCTCTTCCCCCCATAGATCCGCCTGTGGCGTCTACTATAATTCTACCAGTCCCGTCTATACCATATTTTCAAGCCTTTCATTCCAAAGTACTTCGAACAATATAACAATCATGATTCGAATCCTCTAGCTGAATCTCTATTCGGCTCTGACCATTCCTATCATCTTCCTCGAGATTCCTTCTAAATATACTTTTGGACTTCTGGAAGGATAATGAGTCAATCCTCCATGTTATGTCACAAACAAGAACTCATACCATGACCTTACATCACGACCTTGATGTAGAGTTAATGCATGTTATCAGGCAGCACTGTAGTTTGTAAAGAAAGGCAGGTTGGCTTGGGTGTGGTTATCATTAGAGTAGTTGTCCTTTGTGTCTGATAGTGAGATGAATATGTAGAGGAATAAAGGTGTTGTGCATTTGTGGTATAAACTTTTTAACACAGCCTCATTTGTTTCCTTAAGTGATTTCCTGACATCACATAGTGTCATCCCTTGTGTGGGAAATTAAGGATAATGAGTGCTGAAGATTTGAAAACTGCCAAATAGTTGAAAAAGCCTCATTTTGTTCCTGAAGTAATTTCCTAATATTTAACTTGACCTCATTCGTTTCAGATTCTTGAACTTTCACAAGCACAATATTCATGATTCGAATCCTCTAGCTCAGTCTCTATTCGGCTCTGACCATTCCTATCATCTTCCTCGAGGCCCCTTCTAAATATACTTTTGGACTCCTGGCAATGCCCAGTTTCTCAACTGAAGTCCTGAGCATCTGTGTCTCTAGTTTTCTCTTTCAGTCTTCAGTAGCTTCCAATACCAGTGACAAGGCTGGAAGAGAGGCACTGGGATCTCCTGGAGTCCTGCTTTGCCTTCTGCATTTAGAAGCTTAGCTTGGCTCGGAGTTTCCTGGGCAAATGCAAGTACTGTATATAGGTATGAATGTATTTAAGAAGATTAAATTTATTTTTACTTATTTAATTATTTCTAATTTTACTTATTTTTTTAATTATTCACATTTATTTCTGTATTATTTGTATATTTGTGTGGATGAACACCTGTAGGCTTAATACTTATTGTCCTCAAAACGTGGTGGATTGTATTATTATTCAAAAATTCAAAATTATCTATTAAATTATAAATAATGAAAAAATGGTCTTATGCTTTTGATAATGAATGGGCTACAATATCTAAATTTTTAATGCATTTTATTAACTGAATTTTCTTAAATTCAATGGTTATTTTTCATCGTGTTTGTGGATATTTTATTATATTGTGAATACGATATTTTGTGCTCTGTATGTTTTATAGAACTAGTGGCCCTTATATTAAATATATGATTGAATAAAAATCCACCAGAGATCAGAGCAATCCTGTAGGAATGCCTCAATAGAAGGCAAGTGATCTCGCGGTAAGCCAAAAACCAGGTTGATAGATTGGAGTCAACAATGATGCTGTAGAGCTGCTTGCAGATATCTGAAAATATAAAGAGAGATGGAGAAGGCAACAGAAAAAAATAAATAGATATAATTTTTAAAATGTAAAAGAACATCGTAGCTTTTCAATAGTTGTTTCTTTCAGAATTAGCCATATCCACTCAAAATTTAGCTGATAAGACCAAAAAAACTATTTTGCTTTTTGAAATTTTGTATCTGCATATTCATAATGGAAAGTTAAATCATACCACAAAATACTATTAATTTCACTATATTTTATTTTAAATACATTAATTTATCTAGAGGTCCTGCACTATTTAAGAAAATTTAGTTAGTATTCCAATTGAACTGGCTGAAACGTTGGGTAAAAGAAACAATAAAGTAGAAATAATAATCCTTGGTATAGACTCTTTACGGTAAAATTATTAACATCCTTCGAAAACATCATCAATCTTATCGTAGCCTACAACGTCCTAAAGTTTTATCTAATTCTCATAAATAGAGACTTTTCTCATCAAATTAATTGATTAATTGAGGTACTGAAATCTCATGAATACCCGTTTGGTACGCATGATGGTATGGTTTGCATTTGAAACTTAAGAGAATTTGATCACAAAATTTAGAAAAAAGGTGGCCTACAAAAATATTGGTCCATTTGGCCTATATAACCTCGTTATTTTGACATGTTCGGACCGGAAAGCCAACGTCCCAATATTTTTATAGACTACCTTTTTTTCCTCGATTTTGGAATCAAATTATCTTACGATTAAAGTGAAAAGCAAACTATATGTTCATGAGTTTTCAGTACATTATTAAATATACAAACTTTACCGATTTCCAGATTGAAAACGTCCCATTTCCGAGAATTATCATAAATAAAATTTTTAGATGTTAATAATTTGATATAAGAGGGTAAAGCATCAAGTATGTTTATTTGATATAAATATTCAGATAATAATAATAATGTGTTTATTTAAATGACATTTTACAGTTTACACATATGTACACTGATGAACATATATTCCAGTTCGAAAAATTCCGGAAACCGCAAATTGAACTCCGAATTGATGACAAAGCACCGTACAAAGAAAACTGTGGCATTGAAAAAACGCTGAAGTACATTCGACAAATAAAATTAATAAGTTATATTTAAGAAGAAAGATCGTCGCTACTGACGTTGGCAGTCGATGCGACTTTAAAAAACAGTAAATAAAAAAAATAGGTACACGATAATCGTTCATGTTTTAGTGTACAACATTTCACAGTACAGATGACACTAAAATTATGTAATTATATAGACTTATAATTGTGGGTAAATGGTTGACTGTCGTGAATAATGAATAGAAGAATAGTTGGGTTGATCAGTAAGAAATTGGGAGGCAAAAATAAATGAAAATATTTATTTTAACATTTGCTGACGTTTCGACCAGATAAAAAGGTATGAGAAACATGAGTAATGTAGGTAAAAAAAAAATTAAAGTAAAATGAAGTTGGTAGCATAATGACAATAGTAAGAACTAAGAGATAAATAATAATAACCGTAACAAAGTGTGGAATGATGAAGTAAACATAATCAAAAAAGGTGACATAAGTATTAAAATGGAAATATTAGAATAAAATGTAAAACAGAAAAAAAGGAATATGAAGTTATATAAGAAATGAAAATAAATAGTAAAATTAAGATATTACGAATAGAATAGTTAGATAGAAAATTGAGATATTGTAAAGTCTATCAAAATGTACTGATAACGTATAATATAATAAAGAGTTAAAACAGAGAAAAGGAATGAAAGGAAAGAGGGGGGGGGAAACCGAGAAGGCTAAAATAAGAAAGAGAAAAAAGAAAAAAAAAAAAGTTTCTCTCTCTATAAACTTATGTACCATTCCTTTGTTTGTTTGGCAGTAGAAAAAAACTAATAATAAAAAACCTATACAAAAGAAAATAATAATAATGTAAATAAAAATAAAAAAAACTAATAACGAACATTTAAAAAAAAATTTACAAATATATAGTAGTAGTAAAAATATATAGCAGATGTTATATGTGTTAATTAATCTAGACTTAACTAAGAAATGTATTTCTTATGCGACAATATATTGATCAT